AGGCACAGTAAGTTTCCTGATCAATTCCTGAGGTCCAGATCATGTAGGTATAAAACATGTTTGTCTGAGTGGTGCATTCTGTAAAGAGATCAGTGGTGAGTGAAAAAAAATCAATGAAGAGTTCGAGGAGTCACAACAGCCTGGTTCTTTCACACAGGAAAAAAAGAAACACACAAGATGCGCAGTACAGTCTCCTCTCCACACACAGCATGGAGCAGTATTTCCTTTTTCTAATCAATAACAATTTCAAACACAACCCTGCAGTTATGTCAAAGCAGGGGCAGACTGGGATGAAAAAAAGTAGAAAAAAAAACATGTCACGGTATCTACAGTCCATCAGATCCATTCGCAGCATGTGACTTTTACCGATTTAGTACAAAAGACACAGATGACATGGTGATTTGCTCCATAGGGAGACAGTCCTATATATTAATTACATTATTAACAAACCATGTCATCTCTTAATTGTCCCGGATTGTCAATTTTTATCACAGAGAAAGGAACTTTTGGGTTCCAGATAAGTTTGTATTCTTATCTTTGCCCTTTTGGCTTCAAAAATGGGAGAGAAAACAACCCTAATTCTTGATACGTGCCCCTGATCTCAGATGGGGCCGTTAGCCTGGAGTTCTGATCATATGATAGACGTGGCAGGGCTAGGGTGCGCTACAGGAGGAGGGACAGAAGGAGTGGAATGACATTGTAACTTTATGACGCTTACGTGATGCAGAAGTAACAAAGTAACAATTGTAAACCGCTTTGTGACTCTGGTCTGTGAAAGGCGGTATATAAATAAAGCTTACTTACTTACTTACTTACTTAGAATCTGTTTCTAAAACACATTTCATCACGCACTACCTGTGCGCTCTTGGTGTTATTGTTTAATCTCCTATGTTCGAACAGCATGATTCTCTGTGTTGGCGAATCAACAAGCTTGTAAAGTACTTTGAGATGATTTAGGGCTAAACAAAAATAAAATTAATTGAATTGAAAAACTGGCCCATGCATCCTTTAGCCCATGTGCAGGTGCCAAAGCAGGCCTCATGGGGAGGATAGCAACAGCTTGACTTGTGTTAATTTCTAACTTCTGGTCTTTCTGGTGTGTGTGTGTGTGCGTGTGGTTCATAATGAGGATCGCCTGCCTGATTTTAGCACCAGGGCAAGTCTTCTCTTAAGTTTCATGTGGATGCCAAGTATGAATAAACTGTTTGGTTGGTAAATAAAAATAAAACACAAACATGAAATTAGTGAAATAATTCTTGGGGAAACGTTCTTCATCACAAGCTGTTTGAATATTAAAGTCTAATGCCTGCTCATAACATGCACCAAACCCAATATACATTGAAAGTGAATCCAACATTTGTGATAACACCTACATGAAGCTCATTTAACAAATACAAATTGAGATTTAAACATTTAAATTAAAGCAGCAATAAAACCGAAAAGTAAAAACGAAAATTACACACAAGTCGGATAAGGGACAATGCAGGATAAGAATGAAGATAAGAATGTAAAGGCACTTAACATCAAAGTTTTGGCTTTTGCTTAGTGTTTTCCTTTATAAGTTGTCTGTTTGTATTGTTTATATTTGTATTTAATAAATGTGTAATCCTTAAAAAAGTCCTTTACAGTCCCTTCCCATTGTTGCCCCAGATAATTGCAGCACTTTAACACGGGTCAAAAGTACAGGTGTACAGTGTATAAAGGGTAGCTGAGGCCTTGTTTAACTTGATTGTGTCCAGGGTTGATCACAGACATCGATAAAAAAAGAAATCTCATTTGTGGTGCCAGACGTGCTTACTGTCAATGTCACACAAGGTCTGGAGAGGAGGAGAGCAGAGAGGAGGAGAGCAGAGAGGAGGAGAGCAGAGGAGGAGAGCAGAGGAGGAGAGCAGAGGAGGAGAGCAGAGAGGAGGAGAGCAGAGGAGGAGAGCAGAGGAGGAGAGCAGAGGAGGAGAGCAGAGAGGAGGAGAGCAGAGAGGAGGAGAGCAGAGAGGAGGAGAGCAGAGGAGGAGAGCAGAGAGGAGGAGAGCAGAGGAGGAGAGCAGAGGAGGAGAGCAGAGAGGAGGAGAGCAGAGGAGGAGAGCAAGAGGAGGAGGAGGAGAGCAGAGAGGAGGAGAGCAGAGAGGAGGAGAGCAGAGGAGGAGAGCAGAGGAGGAGGAGAGCAGAGAGGAGGAGAGCAGAGGAGGAGAGCAGAGGAGGAGGAGAGCAGAGAGGAGGAGAGCAGAGGAGGAGAGCAGAGAGGAGGAGAGCAGAGAGGAGAGAGAGAGAGAGAGGAGGAGAGCAGAGAGGAGGAGAGCAGAGGAGGAGAGCAGAGAGGAGGAGAGCAGAGGAGGAGGAGAGCAGAGGAGGAGAGCAGAGGAGGAGAGCAGAGAGGAGCAGAGAGGAGCAGAGGAGAGCAGAGAGGAGGAGAGCAGAGAGGAGGAGAGCAGAGAGGAGGAGAGCAGAGGAGGAGAGCAGAGAGGAGGAGAGCAGAGAGGAGGAGAGCAGAGGAGGAGAGCAGAGAGGAGGAGAGCAGAGAGGAGGAGAGCAGAGGAGAGAGAGAGCAGAGGAGGAGAGAGGAGGAGAGCAGAGGGAGGCAGAGAGGAGGAGAGAGCAGAGGAGGAGAGGAGGAGAGCAGAGGAGGAGAGCAGAGAGAGGGAGGAGAGCAGAGGAGGAGAGCAGAGGAGGAGAGCAGAGAGGAGGAGAGCAGAGAGGAGGAGAGCAGAGAGGAGGAGAGCAGGAGAGGAGAAGAGAGCAGAGAGGAGGAGAGCAGAGAGGAGGAGAGCAGAGGAGGAGGAGAGCAGAGAGGAGGAGAGCAGAGAGGAGGAGAGCAGAGGAGGAGAGCAGAGGAGGAGAGCAGAGGAGGAGAGAGAGGAGGAGAGCAGAGAGGAGGAGCAGAGGGAGGAGGAGAGCAGAGGAGGAGAGCAGAGAGGAGGAGAGCAGAGAGGAGAGAGCAGAGGAGAGGAGAGAGAGAGGAGGAGAGCAGAGGAGGAGAGCAGAGGAGGAGAGCAGAGGAGGAGAGCAGAGAGGAGGAGAGCAGAGAGGAGGAGAGCAGAGAGGAGAGGCAGAGGAGGAGAGCAGAGGAGGAGAGCAGAGGAGGAGAGCAGAGGAGGAGAGCAGAGAGGAGGAGAGCAGAGAGGAGGAGGAGAGAGAGAGGAGGAGAGCAGAGAGGAGGAGAGCAGAGAGGAGGAGAGCAGAGAGGAGGAGAGCAGAGAGGAGGAGAGCAGAGGAGGAGAGCAGAGAGGAGGAGAGCAGAGGAGGAGAGCAGAGGAGGAGAGCAGAGGAGGACAGAGGAGAGCAGAGGAGGAGGAGAGCAGAGAGCAGAGGAGAGAGAGAGAGAGGAGGAGAGCAGAGGAGGAGGAGGAGAGAGGAGGAGAGAGCAGAGAGAGGAGAGAGGAGAGCAGAGGAGGAGAGCAGAGGAGGAGGAGAGCAGAGAGGAGGAGAGCAGAGAGGAGGAGAGCAGAGAGGAGGAGAGCAGAGAGGAGGAGAGCAGAGGAGGAGAGCAGAGGAGGAGAGCAGAGAGGAGGAGAGCAGAGAGGAGGAGAGCAGAGGAGGAGAGCAGAGAGGAGGAGAGCAGAGAGGAGGAGAGCAGAGAGGAGGAGAGCAGAGAGGAGGAGAGCAGAGGAGGAGAGCAGAGAGGAGGAGAGCAGAGGAGGAGAGCAGAGAGGAGGAGAGCAGAGAGGAGGAGAGCAGAGGAGGGGAGCAGAGAGGAGGAGAGCAGAGGAGGAGAGGAGGGGAGCAGAGAGGAGGAGAGCAGAGAGGAGGAGAGCAGAGGAGGAGAGCAGAGGAGGAGGAGAGCAGAGAGGAGGAGAGTAGAGGGGAGGAGATGAGAGAAGAGGATATCTGAAAGAAGGAGAGCAGAAAGGAGGAGAGAGGAGATGAGTACAGCATAGAGGAGGAGAGCAGAGAGCAGAGCAGATGAGAAGAGAGCAGAGAGGAGAAGAGCATAGAAGAGGAGGGCAGAGAGTAAAAGAGCAGAGAGGAGAGGATCGAGGAAGAGGAGAGCAAAGAGGAGGACAGCAAAGGTGAGTAGAGTATAGAGAGGAGGAGAGCAGAGCGGTGGAGACGTGTTCAGTATTTTCAGTTATCACTATTTTCGGTCACAACACACAATTGTGGTGTTTATGACCACATTCTTAAAAGTGAAACACAAAAATGAGCTGACGTGAGTTTCAGGTCGATACACTCAATCAATCAATCAATCAATCAATCAATCAATCAATCCTTTATTGTCTCACAGATGAAGAAATTCAGTTCGATGAATAAATATTAAGGCCGGCTGGGGACAACATATCCGCGCTCCTTATGACAGTTATTCAACAGAGAGCATGACAAACATATATTACAACAGACATTATTGGATGGAAACATTGCATGCTGGGAAAGCATACGGATCTTTTTTAAGGAACATTGTCAAAGGACGCGTCAGTCTCATTAGCAACACACAAGCTCCAAAAACACACAAGTCGATCAAAGCTGCACAGAACAGAGGACAAGCACCAGGTCTATACCAACCTCAGATATTCCCAAAACCCAAAGTTCTTCTAAATGTTTCAAAGTTCTTCTAAATGTTTCAAAGTTCTTCTAAATGTTTCAAAGTTCTTCTAAATGTTTCAAAGTCTCTGTTTATGTTGTATCTCCAAACATTTATCATTAAATAAAATACAAAATGATCAATCTTATTAATTGCTGAATTTTTGCTGAATTCTTGAATAATAAATACTTGTGGAATTTTGGAACAGTCCTCTCTCCTTCGGGCACACTGCGTCCACACCACTGTGTCCATCTCTTGAACATTCCAAGAATAAATCACCATTTATCTCTGGTAACAAATTATTGTTTTCATCTATCCATGATGAACTCATTTATTCACTTAGAATTTAGAAGGCAGAGAACTCCTTATTCACAGATGTTGTATTGGAAATGTATTAGGGAAATTACTCCATGGGAGAGGCGACAGTAGCTCAGTTGGTAGAGCACTGGTCTTTGGACCCAATGGTCGTGGGTTCGAGCCCACCACGACCCATATCACCTGCTCCCGCTGATGTCTACTGTTGTTGTGTCCCTGGGCAAGACACTTATCCCAACATCGCCTGAAGTCCCCCGCTGAAAGACCAAGGCCATCTAGTCGATGACAGAGAAGCAAAATCTTCCCATGGACCCACCACCTGCAAGAGGATCAGTGAGGGACTGGTGCTACGAGACTTGGATGAAAAGCTCTGATTGCCACCCCCCCGACCCAGAAATGGATTAATAAAGGGGAACACGATGACAAATTACTCAATGGTATGTATCAATAAAAAGGATGGGAAAGATGTATGCAATTTAATTATGATAATAACACGTCTTTTGTCCACATCAAAGAGAATTCAAAGACACCTCAAGACCAAGACCAAGAAAAAACTAAAAAAAAAGCATACAGATACAATATGTTTCACTGACATTCACCAATACTCCAACAACTTTCTCAGCCTCGTTCCTTTCGCAGGACAGATTGCAGTGTGTTCACTCTGGTGCTCACTAACAACTCACTCGCACATGACTCAATCTGGGCTTTTTTAACAGTATCTTCAGAGCGTCATTGAATGCTACCTGCAGTTTCTGAAGGCTAGCTTTTTTATAGTTCAGCCAAATATGTGCAGTGTATAAAGGAGAACAATAGACTTTGAAGCATAGTCTTTCAAATCAACACTGCAGCCATTAAAAACCACCAAACCTTTAGCCCTTACACCCTTATGTACTTATACAAAGTGGTTAAATGGTTTTGCTTTAGGCCCACATATTTAAATAGGTAGGTAGGTCTTACCCAGGAGGCCTCCCAGCAGCCAGGCAGAAGACAGATGAACCATGCTCGGCCTCCAGGGTGCGCTGCAGTCACTCTTCACCTCAGTCACCACTCAGAGCATTGGCCTGGACGCACATGGGCTGTCAGGCACCAGGGCTTTACAGTCCTCTTCTTGAAACATGAACTTATCCTCCACTCTGTGAAGTGAAAACAACACACAACACACACAACTGTCAGAGATCAAGAAGAAGTTCAGGAAAATAGGCTGATCTAAACTGGCATAAGGCTACACTGATAAAAAGATGGAGAGAACAAAGCAGGACTCTGAGCCGCCCTCAAAGTTGAAGAATGTTTTCAGACATTTGGTTGTACGCATGAAATCTGAACTGTTGTGTGATTTATGCTCAAAATGCTTGGAATTCTGGTTCGAAGATGTGCACCTCTTTTTCTCCTTGGAGCAGGAAAAAGCTGGGTGGGACTCTACACACCTCTGAAAAATCATCAAAATATTGAAAGAATTTAAGGTTTTAATCTGTCGTAGAATAATGTGGAAATTAGTCTTCACAATTAAGCATGTAACACTGAGAAATCTGACCGCAACTGAGCTTTTTAAACCTTTCATTGAAATAAGTTGAGTTGAGGTCAGGGTCAAATGGTCACAGGACAATCTCAAGTTAATAGTTTCATATTACAAATTACTGTTTAAGTCACACTACTCAACAAACTGACTTTGGTTGGGGCCAAATTAAAAAAATAAGAGCTGATCGGGGACATAAATATAAAAGATGTTTTCTTTTATCACAATTATGTTTTACATTAAAAAGGTGTTTTTTCAAATTACATAAATGTATTCAGTTCACTGCTTGATTGAATCAATATATATAAAAGAGTTACACTTGAAGACTAATGATTTAATTGTTTAACTGATATTTACGTGTTTGGCTGTTTTTCTGAGAAAGCTAACTATAAAATGACGTACAACACTCCATAATAGGCTTGCCCATTACCACCAATGTCTGCCTCAATCAATCAAACCCAAATGTATTTGTATAGCACACTTCATGTACAAGGAAATTCAACATTTTCCATAAGAGAAAACACAGATCAAAATCCTGTAATAATGTACAATCATTTCATATTAAAACTCATGTTCAAATGGGGATTAAAATCATAAATTGTAGGAAATATAATCAGTTTTACTATAAATATAACTTTTCAATACAGTTTATTAACAACAACAGAGTGGAAGCCTCTCTAACAACCTCATACTGCGTAATCTGTGGTTCGTATGACACTAACATGTCACGGATGTATTTTGTGTGGAGCTGAAGAGACTTGTGCACAATCAGAGCAACTTAAAATTCTATTCTCTGAGCCACAGGAAGCCAGTGGAGAGACCTGAGGACTGGACTAATGTGCTTGTTCTTCCTGGTTCTCGTCAGGACTCAGGCTGCAGCCTCATGAAGATACTGGAGTGGTTTTACAGCCCGTTTAAAGAGCCCAGTGAGCAGGCCGTTACAGCATCTTACATGGAGACAAACGCGTGTGTATAGGAATCTATAAGTCTGCTCTAGACACTATATTTTTGATTCTGTTAAAATGCAGTTGATCTTTAGGCTTAGGGAGCAAAAACTTGCATGCACTGATTTCTTGGATGCTTTGACTGAGTAAATCCACTGGACCATATTCATTGAGCGTCAGTGATATATCTGAGTGCCACCTGCATAGTTGTGAGGGGACATTCAACTGATCCAATGGCAGCATGTTGATGTTAAACAGAAATGGCCCCAGAATTGATCCCTGTGGGACTTCACATGTTAAGATCATGTGGTCTGAGACAATTCCCATCCTCTATGTATGAATTGCACCAATTAGGGCAGTGCCAGAGTGTCCCACCCGCTCCCCCAGCCTGTGCAGGAGGGTCTCATGGTCCAGAGTCACACTGAGATCTATTATTGATACTTTGCCTGCATCACAACACATGTGAACACAAAATTAGAAACACAGGTGAGGTGTTAATGATTCAGTCTGTGGTTTTGACATTCAAAACTACTGAGTAGAGAATGTCATTAGTTACTTACTTCTTGGTTTTTAGCCTTAGACCTAAATACATTTTTCTAACTTTCAAAAACACTCTCAGGCAATTGAAGTTTTGCTTCTGGACATAATACAACCACACATGAGACTCCGAGCCATCATTGGAGCTAGAAAGTTGGAGTCTGGAGAAAGTGTTTTCGAGTGATCTTTCTCCCAAGAGACAGATGCTTTGGTCACTCTTGAGACGAATGACAACCAGCTTTTCACCGCCTTCCATTAGAAGAGACATAAGATTAGATAAAGAGAGCTATCAGGCTGCAGCATTCATTGCATTACCCTTTTGCAAACAAAAAAATGCAGTGAATAGTTAATTGGCATGATTTAAGGACAAGTTTCTTAACTTGAGCATGATTATTTTTGGAATTTAATTAAAACAAGACATTTCATGTTTATTCCATTGTTAAATCAGCTTTAAGAGTAAAACTAAAACTAAAAAAAATATTACTGAAAACCCTAACCCACTGTGTGGGAGTTGTATATCTTTTTTTTTTTTTTTTGAAAAAAGTTTGATAAAACTACTTTAAACAGAAAAAATATTTTTAAACAAAAATTACTCAAACTACTTTCAAACACAATGTGTGTCTGGAAAATGAGAGTACACTCCTTTTTTAAAATCTTTGTATTCTAAAATATTGATATCAATTATTATGTAATAGTTATGTAACTGTTTCTTATGATACTAATATCTTCCAGAGTCACTCTCTCAGTGATGGGACGAGTGAAACACTCTTTGAGCAGCACATAATATGGACAGGACCAAAAACTAGCTTTTGCACAAAACGAACATCCACACCTTGAGGCAAAAGTCTAGGATGTAGATTAAATGACGTCTGCTTCAATGTCTTGTCCAAGTAGGGGATTATACTATAACAAAATACATAGTTCTGCTCATTCAACAATAGGAAAACACTATGAGCCAGTTTACTAAATCATAATGTGATTCTATAAATAATCATGTACACAGC